GGCGTTGCTGGCTGGGGAATTCTGGGAGTTGAAGTCCACCCATCTTAAAGTTGACAAGTTTGAGAAACATTGCTATTAAGCCTATTATGGCTTGATGCAATGACCTGGCTCATTAATATGCAGTGGCAACAACTGGATTTCCACCATCCACTGAACTAATGCAACGGCCTGGTTCGCTGACATGCAGTGGCAACAGCTGGATTTCCACCATCCACTGAACTAATGCAACAGCCTGGTTCACTGACACGCAGTGGCAACAGCTGGATTTCCGCCATCCACTGAACTAATGCAATGGCCTGGTTCACTGACACCCAGTGACAACAGCTGGATTTCCACCATCCACTGAACTAATGCAACAGCCTGGTTCACTGACACCCAGTGACAACAGCTGGATTTCCACCATCCACTGAACTGCAAACCATCTAAACTTACATGTGGTGAGCAACTTTTCTGCTTGGGCTTCCCTGTATTTGTACTCTCGAGTAAGTTTTTCCCTTACCCACGTCAACCGTTGCGCAGGTCACAGGAGCAGGCACAGATAAAACCATTGGCAACTGCACACAACCCAAAAGTTAGAAAAGGTACTGCATCTGTTGTTGTTTTTTTGCTTTATCATCACACGTGGCTGAGTTGTATAAACAGCACGATGCCCACGTGGCTCAGGCTAGGGCCCCAGAATCAGTGAGGGTGAGCGCACCTTGCTGTCGTGAACTTTTACTCCCACTGCACCCAGGCAAGGTTCTCGCCAGCTCCTAATGTTCCAAAAATGGGCCCAGAAGCTTCTAATGCTGATCTGAATTTTGAGATGCTATCGCACCACAGTAGTTAACAGGTGAAAGATACGGTGACATGCACTTCAGATGTGACCTGTGCTGCAGTTTGGCAAACAAATCACAACAGCCTGGATCTAGTGATGTGGAAATCAAAACAGCTGGATTTTTAAACAAACCCTCTTAAGCCCAAACTCTTGTGCAATGCACAAACTCAAGCATTAATTGCAATTTAGCGCACTCCTAATGGTCTCCCGTCCAGGTACCAACCAGATCTCACCTTGGGGCCTGCTGTTTGTTAATGCTGGCCAAGTGCTGCCCTCTTATGGGGCCAAGCCATGGTGGCAACTTCCGGTACCCCATGATTAAGTGTTAAATGTTCACAGACTGACAACACCCATCTTTAAATGCTGGCTAGTCTCATCATTCTGAGGCTGTGCGATCTACAATCTGCCTCGCCTTTTAAGAAAGGGAAGTATTTATTTATCCAAGTGACAACCATCACTATTCACTTTGGACAGTTCACAAGCAAACATCCTTCAGTGTTTTTGGAGATATATGATCTCATTTAAAGTAGCTAGGCATTCTGTATCCTTAGATGGAATTCGTGTTTATCCTGACATTAATTATTTCGTTTTAATATACTGGACAGCATTTTGTTTGTCGGAGAAGATTTACAGAACATCTTGGCTCTCAGTTTCTCTTATGAGGAACAGCCAAAAGAGGCTCCGTTGGGGGAAAAAATGTTTCACGGAACTCACTGACACAAGATACAGCCATAATCTTTGGTGTCGGTGTCTTTCAGAGCAGGTTAGGAGGACCTGCCACTAGTGCCAAAATATAACCTCCACTTTCTAACCCATTCTACCGCAGAATACAGATAGTCCTCAACTTACGACAATAGGGACCAGAAAATTCATTATCAAGTGGTGCAGTTGTTAAGCGAGGCATCACGTGACTGCACCTGATTCTATGCTTGTTGTGGTGGTTGTTACGCTATTCACATGGTCGTAAAGTGAATCCGGCTTCCCTGGTTGACTTTGCTTGTCGGAAGCCCCCTGGGAAGGTTGCAAATGATGACCACATGACCCTGGGATGCTGCAACCAGTGTGGATACATGCTGGTTGCCAAGTGCCCGAATTTTGATCATGTGACTGTGGGGATGCTGCGACAGTTGTAAGTGTGAGGACCGGTCGTAAGTCACTTTTTCAGCGCCACCATAACTTCCAATGGTCATTAAACGAATGGTCCTAAGTCAAGGACTACCTGTAGTGGGAATGAGAGAAAATAGCTACTGGCTACTCACCCAGCCAATGGAACAGATGGATTTTTATTCTAAGAGGCCCAGAACATTTATTTTGCTGTAATCCATTATTCGATCATAGGACTAACAATTACAGAAAGAGGCCGTGCCCATTTGCTTAGATAGCTTTTAAAAAGGAGCAGAACTACTGGAGTCAGTAAGCAAATCTATTGATGACTATTAGCAGTGTAAAATATTTATCTGTTGCGTCTTTTTAATGGCTCCTGACCTCCAAGGCAGCTACGAAGATGGCAATGATAATATTAATCAGGAATAAAAGGTCCTGACCTCAGAAAAGGACCGCTCCCTTTGATGAAAACCATTAAGCCTTTTGAGGGAACTTAAAGCTATTTTTAGATGCCAAATTTATCATGCCATGAAATTTAAAAATTAAAAAAAGTTTTTGCTGCAACAAACCACCTTCGGACATGCTAATCTTTCAAGGGCGAGTTACCCACAGGTGCACAGAGAATACAGCTTTCCCCCCTCCATGCCCACCCACAGGGCATCCAAAGGAAGATCTTGCCTTAACCGAACCACAATTCAATGGATTGGAGGATCACAAGGCTAAAACATGGCTGCTACACGGAACCTCCACATTCAGGGGCAGTCTACCAAGTAGCAAGTAAACTACGGCAAGGGATGAATAAGGGCACTGGATTAGATGACCACTCTGATCGCCAAAGACTTTTCTGAACATTTTAGGTGATGCTCCTATATTTTAGTTACTCTCAGTACATCAGGCTTTCTCAGATGCCTTTACAATGGCATGGTGCGGAAGGCCAGTGTTACTGCAGTGGGCTGTTAAGACTTTAAAAAGCTGTATAATACCAGATTTTGAATTTTGAACTCTTGCATCATTACCAGAGTTTCATGCTAGATCCAGCTTCAAGTATGCACACGCGGAGTAGTAGCACCTGATGGGACCTCCTTATATCTAACACAACTTTTCTTGCCATGGTGTTGCAACCCTGGAGGGCAACTTCACAGAAAAGGACATGGCCTGTACATCTTTTCTCCTTAGAATCATAACGCAAGAGAGATCTCTGGGGTAGGAAAAAAACAGGGGTATTTCAAAATATTTATAACAGTGAGCAGATTTTTTTTTTCAGGTCAAGCTTATTTGGGAAAAGGAACAATAGTTCTTCTGTCTTGCATTCTGGGGAAAAGAGGTTCAAACGGCTCATGATTATCTTATTGAACAGGTAGTCCTTAGTTAAGGACCACTTGTTCAGTGATCGTTTGAATTTATGATGGCACTGAACAAGTGGTACTTATGACCAGTCCTCATACTTATGACCCGCATGGAGTCCCTATGGTGACAATTGTGATTCAGGCCTTTGGTGACCAGCCCGCATTTCTGACCATCGTAGCATGATCACCATTTCTGACCTCCCCTGCTGGCTTCCCACAAGCAAAATCAACGGGGAAGCCAGCAGGAAGCCGGAAATCATGATCACATGAAGTCCTCGCTTAACAACCACAGTCGGAAATGCTAGAAATGTCATCATAAAGTGGTGCGGTCACATGACGTTGTACTTAACAACCATGCCACTTAATGATGGAGTTGCCGGTCCCAATTAGAGACATTAAGCGAGGACTACCTGTATTTTCTATATCGCCGTAAGACATTTTGATTTAAAAACAAGAGATTTGATTTAAAAGGATATAATTAAGAAATGTTATCTGCAAGAAACATTGCAGCATACAGCAGTCTCATCTTCTAAGCAGGAGCATCACTGCTCCAGATTTCCCGCCAGCCTCCGTCCTCCTTGGGGCTACTCCATTCTTCAGTTCTTTGTTTTCCAAATGTCAGTCAACATTGTGGCTGCCGAGCATCTTCAGTCCTCACTCAATTTTTTCTGATGGTTTTTGCCTTCCTGGATAAACTTTTTTAAAAAGCAGTCTAAATGCCTGAGTTCAGCCAACCGTGTTGACACCTTCCTTTTGTTTCTTGAGACCTCCAATTTTTCCTGCACTCTCCTCAGAGTTTGCTATTAGAGGGAATGATACAATTATACCCATTTTATTGACAGGCGTCCAAAGCAAGGGAAGGGTGGCTTACTCATGACCAACATCGCTCATAACTTAGGGTGAAATGTGGCCTGAAGATCTTCTGGCTTATGTTACAGCATCCACATTGTTGGGATCACGGATGCAAACGTTTGATATAATTTTCTGGTGTTCAAACCTAGGCTAAAAGGAAGCTGTCTGCAAGTAGATGACTCCCCTCTCTGGGTCCAACGGCCCCATTCTTAAACCCCCAAATCTTCCCTAAAACCGAAGGAGGAGTAGATCACAGTTAAGGCCACAAGAGAATTTCACGCAGGGTGATCTTCGGTCCTTCCACTATCGTCTCCATCTGTTGAAAAGAAAACAGAAAAAGTTTGGCATCTTGGCTTCACTCTGAGGTAGCGTTTCTCACTCTTGGCAGCTTGAAGAGGTGTGGACTTCAACTCCCAGAATTCCCCAGCCAGCATGGCTGGC